CGGCCAAGGAGCGTTCGCACACCGGAAAATATTGCTGTTGTGAAGGAGAGTGTGAGATACGATCCGAAACAATCAACAACGCGTCGATCCCAAGAATTGGGCATTTCGAGAACCAGTTTTGCTCCGCATTCTCCACAAGGATTTGAATGTACACGCCTACAAGATCCAATTGACGCAAGAGCTGCGTCGAGCCGACCATTTTTCGCGCCGAACGTTCTCAGATTGGCTCCTTGAACACCGTCAAATTGATGCCAATTTTTCATCAAAAATCATGTTCAGCGACGAAGCGCATTTCACTTTGAATGGGACGGTAAACAAGCAAAACTGCCGCATCTGGGCGAACGAAAATCCCCGTGAGTATCAAGAGCAGCCAATGCATCCTCAAAAAGTGACTGTGTGGTGTGCATTGTGGTCAAAAGGCATCATCGGACCTTACTTTTTCGAAAATGCGGCTGGGGACGCCGTTACCGTCAATTCTGAGCGATATCACGTGATGATAGAGGACTATTTTTTGCCGCAACTTGAAGGAATGGATATGGACGATGTTTATTTCAACAAGACGGTGCAACATGCCACACAACCAACGTCAATATCCATCGATTGCAGTCCTTCTTCGGTGATCGCGTGATTTCGCGCAGAGGAGATGTGCCATGGCCACCAAGATCGTGCGATTTGACTCCCTTGGACTTCTTTTTATGGGGATATTTGAAAAGCAAAGTCTACGTCAACAAACCAGCCACCGTCCAAGAACTCAAAAACAACATCATTGCCGAGATAAATGCCATAGAACCGACCATGTTGCAAAATGTCATTGAAAATTTCGACCATCGCGTGGACGTCTGTAAATCCAGTCGTGGTGAACATTTGAGGGATATTATTTTTCATACATAAATGGTATAAATGAACCTTCAAAATAAAGTACCCAACTTGATTTGAATATCAATCTTTCTTGTTTTAATATGCGTTTACTTTCCTGCGTCCTGGTTTTGGACAACCCCATACTTCTGCTATAAGCGAAATTGTGGATCTCTGGTATGTTTCGGATGGATAAGAGTATCGTTCTAATTGTGGTTTCAAAGCAATTTGACACGTGAAAAGAATCGTTTGAGCATCATGGTGTAATCTTAAAAATCTTTAATTTCAGTTCATCAGAGGAAGAACGAAAACAGAAAAGCCCAAGCATGACATTCCTCCAGAATACTGGCATATCCAGAAACTGGTAAAATATATAAAGACTGGAAATCAAACCGCCACTGTCGTAGCTTTATGTTGTCTCAAAGACCATGATCTTTCTACTGAGATCAACCAAACGGCTATACAGGTATTTTTGTATGTTCTTTAGTTTCCCGAGACATCGACTTGATTTTGAATTTCGGTTGCAAGCAATAGCCTACTTGACCCAAATCTAATTTCATGGAATAAATGAGTATTTCATACACGACTGAATCAGCTCAAATAACGCAAAAACGCGATGGATACTCCTCCGACAATGACATCTTTCATTTTTCGTCACTTTGGTGTGAACGCTTGTATTTGGGTATATGGGTATCATGTAAACAACTTATAAAACGTTAAAAAACCTATAAGATGTCATCTTGCAAACTAGGTAGTTTTTAGGGCACAATTAGTCATTCCACGTTTGCTCACTAGGATCGTTGTGAACGTCCATCTAACGAGGAATCACTCAACTAAAGTACACGCATTATTGGTTGCATATGTGAGGCTAAATAGTTATTGTCTGTAGTTTTTATCTCTGAGAAGAAAGTTGGTTGAATAGCGGGTTATTTTTATGTTGTGCTTTCTGAAGAGAGGTTATGTTCAAAGTTATCTGTTAGCACGTATATGAGTTGTAATTCGACAATGTACAGTGAATTTAATTATTTCTTATTTCTCTCATTTTTGAAATTCAGCGAATTTGTATATGTAATTTCCAGAATGGATAAGGAAAAGTGGATGCGCAACTAATTTCTAGCTTTGAATCTCAATTAAGTGTATTTAAGACAAGAACCCAATGTAATTATCATCAACACATACAAGTTACAGCTTAGACCTCCAGTAATGCCATCTCAGAAGCAGATTTTACATCACAGCAGAGCCTAAGATTGATAACAAGCCTCATGACGTCTAGGCAACACGTACAACTAAGTGCTAAGTTAACATCTTGTAGAAAAACCTACATAATGTCAAAAAAAATCGGCATAATGTCACTTTTCAAGATACGTGATACCCGTGCTCCCTAATGGAGCTCGAATTTTTTGTGAGCGGTATTTTACTAGTTACATAAATACGCGAATTTGGACCAACCGAATAATGCTACAAACTGCTTTACCTTCCACACACTCTTGAATAAGTCATCCAACTTCAACCGTTCGTTTTTTCTAGGAAATCGGAGGTCTAGAAATCCTGATAAACCTCCTCGAAACCAAAGACCTGAAATGCAAAATAGGCGCTTTGGAGGTGTTGACGGAGCTCTCCCACAATCCGGACATCCGCAGATGTATCGCTGATTTGGGCGGGATCCCGCTGTTGGTGAAAAACCTCACGGAACCTGCCAGAGATTTGCAGATTCTCGTCGCCGAAACTATAGCGAACGTTGCGCAGATAAAGAAAGCTAGGAAGGCTGTGAGGAAGTGCTATGGCATTTCAAAGTTGGTGGACTTTTTGGATGTTAACGAGGTCTATCTCAAATCGCCTCCGTAAGCAGTAGTAGAAAGATTAATTTAGAACGTTTGGCTACATAAACAGAATAATTATAAACAACTTAGAATTAGTAAAATCCAGTATTGTCCTGTGAATGCTGGGCAAGCTATAATTGTGGATTGAACAAGTGATTAATCAATTTCGCTTTCAATTTTGTCAAAGTCTTCTCCGGTCTTGATCTTCATTCTATAAATGATGGTCGCCATTTGATGATGTTAACTTAGTTGCTTTATAAACGAGTATCATTACAAGATATTCGATAAAAATTTCCACAATGAAACATTTTATATTTATTTAATTGGACTATATATTTATCTGTATTCAGTATTATTCTCATGCACTTGTTTTGTTAAATTTGCAGCTCTTCAAAAATGTAATTAATTGCAAAATATAGAATAGCCGAATAGCGCATCAAACATGAAGAATGATAGTATTATAGATAATTCCCCTACTATATGAAGTCAGAAATCCAGAAACTGTTCCTAAATGTCCCATTTTACAAATAATCCTGTTTATACTCTTCTCGTAATGCACATCAAAATTTAATTGAGAATCAACAAAGTTTATTTAAAATTTTCTATGAATTCGACATCATCATCAATATTTAGTTGAACATTTGTAAATTGTTTTTTTCCAATTAACATAACTTCGTTTTAATTTGAGTTTCTTAAATGCTAACCAATTTGAAACAAGTTTGAAGTCTTCATTTATATAAGAGATACCAGTCTGAATATTTCGAGAACTTGTATAAACCAGTGTCATCCGTGAGAATTTGAATATTGTTATTTTTTTACTATGACAGGTAAATCGTTTATGTATAAGGTACAATGTAGTGGTCCCAGGATACTGCCCTGTGGAACACCTAACGCATTTTCATTTTTTAATGAAATAATGTTATCAACTTTTGTAACACAAATTCTAAGTAGCCAACTGCGAAGCCGTTTTTGTGTAATATTTTCTTGCGAAAGCCTGCCTGTGATTTCCTTACACAACAGTTCGATGCGGTTTCTGGATAACAGATAGCATTTTTGATAATTTTTAGAGAACAATTGACGGCCGATCAAAGGGGGCTGGTCAATATGGCAAAAGCAGCTACAAGAGCACTTTGGGCTATCTCGAGAAGCAGTAAAAATATCCAAGTGATGATGAAGAGCGGTTCAGTTCCTTTGTTAGCCAGATTGTTGAGGTACGTCCATTTCTTTCTTGTACGCGGAAAGCGATTTTCCATACAAGTCTCAGATATTAACAATCGCAACACTATGAATACAGTACAGTAAATTTTAACATACTAACATTTCAGGCAGATCTATACATTTCTTTATTTTCTTTCCACCGAATACACAAAAACTATTACCACTAACCAATAAAACCTGTTACGTTAAGGATGAGGGAAACACCCAGTAACAAGTACAAGTACAGTACAATGGTCAAAATTATACAAACTACACACAGCTGTATGACAAGAACAAATTAAAAACAGATTAAAAATATTTAAAACGAAAGTTAAGCATTACATCGTGAAGCCACTTGATGATTGCACAAAATGGTGGGCATAGAATCATGAGTAAGATGAACCTTTTGACAGATGGCCGAAGGTTAGCAATGTCCGTGTAGAATGACGGAACGAAAATTCTTTTGTAAGGCGTGTGCTACGTTGCCAAATCACTTCAGATGGTGCGATTTTCAAGATACGTTGGGTAAGAACTTGTCAACCCGACCAGAGAGGCAGTTGAATTAACTATATTATTATGAGACGGGCAATTGAATTAACAGTTATTATTTAATTATGAGAAAACAATTATTAAAATTCGAATGGAATGGAATTTTTTGGTGGAATACCAAAAAACAGATTCCATTTATGGTTGTGAAGAGACAAAATCTGGAGTGATATGTAAGTGCTCCAATTTTTCGCAGTTTAGCAAATATGAGTTGCTTAACATCTGTCTTCTTATTGATACAGTTGTCATTCATGAAAATGTGGGACATTTGTACCATGTATCCAGCTCTCACCATGTTACTGGGTGTTTCCCTCATCCTTAACGTAAATAACATTTAGCAACATCCTCACATACTACTGTAAGTTAATTTAAATTAATTTTACACAATTGTTGCTTCTTTTATCAATGTAATTGCAGCTCCTGATGATGATGGCAAAGACCATTGAAATCTAGACAGATTAAAAAAGTATAAAGAGTCCTCCTTGCTTAAATTTTGTCGAAGTACTCAACAAAAGGCGGAAGCTTTAATTTTCACCTAACTGGTATAGACGACAATGACCACGTCTCAATATATATATATATATATATTATAAAAGATTTTATAATTATTTAATTTTTTGGTGTTGCAATAACTGTTTATTTGTTTTTATTTCTAGTATCATATTCATGATTGTTTTTATGGAATTCTAATAATTATAACATTATACCAAAGCAATTTATGTATATTTTTGTGTTGATCCTATAAACCGCGATTTGGAAGGATATAATAAAGGTTTGTTATGCATTGTATTTATGAATGATGTTTATATTATATGTAAAAAGGCCATGTGACATTCAACTAGTGTTTGATATGAAAATTTCATATCAAACACTAGTTGATATTTCAATTTCATTGAAAATTTGTCTGTAATATCTGAACTTATATAACAGTTTCTTTTTAATATATTGGATATGTACATTAGTAACCTGATGAAAACTGTATCCATGGTAGTAGTACTTAAAATTTATAAAATACTCATAGCCATGTGTCACAAAAACATCACAACGGATTAAAAACGTTTGGATTGATTGTTAAATGTTTTGATTTCTCTCAAAATTTTGTAAAGTAGTAAGATTTTTCACGATGTGACATCTTACGTATTCGTCATTTGTATATCTGTTAATTAATGTGTGGAAAGCACGCCAACCTAACGTTACTACTATCAGTTTAAAAAAAGTAACTAACTGACGGTTTCAATAATACTCTGGGATTTTTCACACATGTAATTGTTATTAGTCCACATTACACTCATTTATAGTGTGTAATTTGCACTATTATGTTGTGTAAATAGAGCTATGGCAATCACAATTTCCTGTTCCTGAGACCTTAAGAACTTTTTATAAGTGATTGTCCTTCTTTCTCGAAAAGCTTATCGTTTTCACAGCAATATTTACAGTTTTTCAAAATACCTGAACTAATAACATACCTAATTAAAATACGTCAATGGATGATTGTCGATTGTCTAATTTCCGATATTCTGTGCATGGATGAAACCGTGAAAAGTAACTTTTACGAGACAAAATCTAGGTCATCAAATAAATTCTGTTCGGCAGAGTTCACGAACCTCGAAATCCGAATGAATGGCAAGAATGAAAGTGTCGTGGCGACGAAAATTATATGAATTATTTACACCAACTGGACCATTAAGCGGTGGGTATAACTGGTTACTGCTTATTGACGTATATTTATATTTTTCTGCCTAATTGCGTTATGGTATATTTCCAATTAAATATTATAATACACTACTTGGTTATTTATTACAGTATTTGGCTTAGGAAAACGAAATATATCGATCTTTAAAAGCGCAAAATGGGTATATAGAGAGTGGCAAAGTAGCGTTCGATCTGACAACACTGGAGGGGGGGACAGGGCAACATGTGGTCCGCCTCCAGTAGAAGCCTCCTTATTCGCCTAAGTTCCTTGTGACTTTTCTCTCTTCATGAAGTTGAAAAATCAACTCATTCAATCAGTAGTTCAACACCTTGGACCTCGATAAGGGGACATTTTTGGGTTCATCAGAACCTCCCGCATTAATTTTGAAGGTGCTATCTGCCTGACCCTAATGTAACTATTTTTAGCTCCCTGTATTTATGTTCTTATGCTCATAGGTCTATACACATGGACGTGGTCGTTCCAGCTGTTGGTACAATATCCCAATGTGCGGATGACCCGGGGTACCAGCTAGCTATCCAGACAGAGGGAATGATTCGGGATATAGTCAGGCATTTGTCTACAGAGGTATCTATAAAATCAGTGAATTATATCTGTTATACAGAGTGTTGCTTAATGATGGGCCAGCGTAAAGGTTTTGCGGAGATGGATGCGACACGGGGAAAGAAACAGTTACAGAAAGATAAACTTGCTATTTAGCAGTTTTTCGTAGTTATTTAGATATTTATTGAGCCAGAGACATTTTTGGTGTAAAAACAGATTAAATTTATACACAATTCATACACATATAAATGACAATTACATCCAAATTATAACACACATTGCGGTAAACACGAATATACAAACATGAGCAACATATTAAAAATTGTGAAATATAAAAAATTAAAAACTGGAAAGAATCTGGGTAACAGAAACCTGTCTACAGTACATTTTTAAGTAAAGATAGAATAAAATACCCCAAAAATACCCAACGATTTTATTTTCCCCCAAAAAATCTTCCAGATCGTTTTATTTCCCAAAAAATCCCCAGGGGATGTAAAAAACCACATAATTTGGCAACACTGTGTCTTCCTGTCTGTCGGCTATCCTTTGACCACCTATAACTTGGGATGTACCGCTCGGATTTCGATGAAATTTTCACACAAGTTTAAGACTATGCCAAGGGTGCAAAAGCTTTGTAGATTTTGAAAATCCGTCCAGTGGCGGCGGAGCTACGGGGCGAAAAGCAGAAAAGAACAGAAGTCGCTTAAACTTCGTTTTTTGGGAGCATTTCTGACTTTCCGTGACAGTTTGCTATTGTAACGAAAGCACCGTTTTTACTGTCCAAAGTTCAATTTATTACTCTTCTCTGATTTACAACAATGTCGACTGGACCACGTTGACGCGTCGGTCGCCACTCTTTAACTGTGCTCCTTCCATTGTCGTCGTGCCCATATATTTTGAAATCGACAAATCCAGAATCTCCCAGAAAATTTGCGCGGTATTTATCGAACGCTCCCGATGACTTCGCAAGCTGTGATGGTGTAACTCCGGTTGCCTAATTTTGAGAGGGTATCTTTTCGCCAATGAAGGTTCCAGTTATGAGAACGTTTCACTATAATTTTTCTTTTGACAATTCCCAGTTTCTTTGATGACCTGTATCTTAGAAACCAGACTTAATAGGTCATACGTTTGTATTAACTGTTTTACTTGAATTTGATTCAGGAAGGCGCACTTGTATAAGGAGGGCTGTTCCGTGGTCTCGTCACTCGAGTTGCTAGGCAACGTGGTGATTCTATTTCTGTCTCTGTCATTTCGATGTCAGTGGTATATGGATTTATCTAATAAGTAATTTGCATGCATCTTTGAATACGATTCTGTTTTGAACATATGGAAAAATAACCATCATTCTGCGAGATAGAGATGAAGCGAAATAGTAGCGGGACACGGTTGGAGTACAGTGTTGCCGCGTTTCACTCTCTTTTTTTCCTAGATTCAAAAATGATTTCAAGAAACAAAATGCTTTCAGGAATATCCTATGCTAAGAAGATACTGCGCAGAAACGATATTTAAATGCAGCGAGAACGCTTTGACCAGAGATATGGTCAGACAAGCAGGTGGGTTGGACCCGCTGGTCAATATGGCCAGGAACCCGAAAACGAAAGAAGATAAGCCATTGCTTGCTGCTGTCACAGGGGCAATTTGGAAGACAGCCATCAGTCCTGCGAATGTTGAAAGGTTGGATCAACTGAAAACTGTCGAGGTAAGAAATGTAAAGTACACGAATTCAGATTGGAGGTAAGTATGATTATTATCATAAGTTGACACAAGACTGTCACTTTGGTAAGTATTGGCGGTCAAGTAAGTGTATACTGATACTACGCAATTTTGACGACTAACAATGCAATGTAAACAAACATACAGGCTTGGCGCCTAATCTATTCGGATTCATTGGTTGGAACCGCACGCGTATTACGTATCTTGAAAAGTGACATTTTGACATGTTATAGGTTTTTCTACAAGATGTCAACCTAGCACTAGCTGTTGTCCACTTGTGAATTCGTTTTTTTTTCACATAATAGCCTGTACTGCAAGATCGCGTTACATTGTCTGAACGCTTTTTTTTATTTATAGACGCTTGTCAAGCTCCTAGAGAACGTCGAAGAAGACGAAGGTGTTTTGAGCAACGTTGTTGGGGCACTTTGCGAATGTCTGAAATTTGAACACAACAGAAGTACCCTGAGGTATTGACGATTTTACTATAAAATATTCTACTTTTTTGCCATTATCCAGTGCAACATCTGCCGATCGAATTTGCAGGCACCTTTCCAGACTGATCTTTACTTCCCACGCCACTGGCGATTAACGAAAATGAGAGGTTTTTTGGATATATTATATAAGATGTACATCACGAAAAACTATGTCACTTATTTATATGTATGTTTCTCCGCTAATCCTTGGCCAGTATATAACTTGGAAAGCAATGCTCAGATTCCTATAAAAAAATTATACAAGGTTACTACAATGCCAAGGACGAACAAGCTTTGTAGTTTTTGAAAATCCGTCCAGTGACGGTGGAGCTTTGAGCCGAAAAACGAAAAAAAAACCGCTCAACCTCGTTTTTGGATGTTTCAGAGGCTCCTGATGATTTTCAGAAAAAAATTTGGTTACTGCCAATCGCCAATGAATCCCTACTCAACTTGATATTCCCAGCAATTTGGCAACCCTGAACTTGCTCGGCACACTGTAGGAAGAAAAGAGAACCTTTCTATCTGTTAATTGTATGGGCATGTTTGACTGACTTGATCCGTTCGATTTCTTTGCTATGCAGGCTCGTAGTCAACCTGCTTGACGTCATTTTTTTTCAGGAGAGCAGACGGTATACCTCACTTGGTGAACCTGCTCAATTACACCTATCCTCCATTATTAGAAAACGTCCCGATGGTATTGAGAGAGTGTGCCGAAGATGAAGATTCGATGAGGATCATCGAAGAATTGGATGGCGTCAGACTCATTTGGTCTTTGCTGAAAAACGATTCTCCAAGGGTTTGTATTTTGTAGTTTATTATACTACAAAAATTCACGGGACACTTCTTTGTAATGCAAAACATTTTAAATACCTACTTGCTTCAAGCGTAACGAATATAGAAGTGGAGGGTGATATCTAATTATTGTATGGTCCAATTTGACTGACTTGATACATAATCATTTTTGTGTAGAGGCAACCTACTTGACGCCATTTTTTGTGCTACTTTACATGGAATCTTTTAAGACGAGAGCAAAAACAAAACAGCGTATCTTCCTTATTAGCTTTTGGTTGGAATTTTTAACCTGAAAAGTAAAATATTTATTCTTATTTCCATTATTCTGTTCATCAAAAGTTTTCCTATAACAATTCCATATTCATAGTACCACAAAACAGCATAGCCTTTTATTATATATCATATATTATATAATATATAATATATAATATATATATATATTACGTATATATATTATATATTATATATTATATATTATATATTATATATTATATATTATATATTATATATTATATATTATATATTATATATTATATATTATATATTATATATTATATATTATATATTATATATTATATATCATATATTATATATTACATATTATATATTATACATTATATATTATATATTATGTATATACATATTATATAACAGGAACTTTTAGCCCTGCTTCGTTTCAAAAAGGTCGGCAGTTACGCATTATAAAACCTAGAATCCGTGTCTCTTCGTAAGTCATGCAAAATCTTTAACCTTTGTGGTTTTCTCCAAAATGATTGCCGGATCTATGCGCTATGTAAAGGCACGTCCCAACTTTTATGTATTGCATAACGCAGAGACTTCTCTACCGATCCAAGCCGACTTGGTAATTTTGCAATGAACTTGAAAGTTGAAGTTACATCAGAATAATATTCTATTATTTAGACATCGCTGCCTTGACATCTTGCAGTTTTAAAAATTCAATTTAGCAAAGTTAAATTGCAAAACTAAGGTAATATCGTTGTAAACAAATATAATGATCGTCACCTTATTTTATTATCGTGTAGCTAAACAGGTCATCTCGGCATCATACCTGTTATTTTAGTTGCGTAAGAAACAGATTTGATTCAAGGAAAAATACGCGGGTTGCTTAACGGAATCGTTTATTTACGAAAATATGGGACGCAGCTCTTATACGACGCGAAGACTTCGCTTTTCTTTAATTCGTTTCTACTGCATACGCCAACTGGCGAGGAAATATAATTTCGAAAAATTTGCATGTCTGCAGAAGTGTAATTTTCGATCACAAAAACCGAAACAAAAACTTCTTAGAGAAATTTCGCAAAGAAAATTACGCGAATAATTCTTTTCTAGAAGAGCTGACGTGCAAATGTCAAACAACCAAGCAGAAATGATTTTTTGTTTTCCAAGGAACTTGTGATTTTTTTTGCAAAAATTAATAACTAATTTTGTCCAGCGACATGCAATAAAATGGTTCTTTTTTTTTCTTAAAAACGAAGTGAGATACGAAAAAATACAAGAGGCAAGGAAGTTGTATTTTTAGATGCTTAATAAAACAACGAACATTAAAGTTCCAAAAAAGGCAGTGGCGTACATATTTTTGCCAATAATATTCCGCTGGATCTAATAATTTTAATCTATTTAAACCTAAACTAGCCTCTTAAGATAAAAAACAATTATACCAAATTTCCAAATTTATCACCCCGTAACCCATGTTTATAGTAACTTTTTTTCATATTTCGTAACAAGTATATATCTTATATTTTTTTGGCTTTTAGACAGCCTCAAAAGTGGAATATTCCATTCAAAATCGCCCTGTAATTTTCATACGAACCCAATACGCATTTCAATCCTAATCTTGCAACACTGTCTATATCGAAACCGGTCCCATTGGCAAATCCGTTTCACAACCTAACCGTACATACGCGCTGCTCCGCATAAACGGAATTTGAAAATTTTCGAATTATATTCCGCTGCAACAGATCTCGTCGGGTAGTACTTTCGACACAACGAAAGTTCATTGACCATTCGCCTGTGACTGCTCCTAAAGGCTAATTATTGTTGAATTAGGAACGAGCTATCATTTAGAAACTGAATGTGTCGGTAACGCGGTGCATTATGAAATAATTCGATGCAAATCGACGTGCAATTCGGCCTTGGACGAATACTGCTTGTTAATGTCTCTTAAGCGCTGTTAAATATTACTCAGACAAAGAACACGCAAGAAATTAACGTTTTCTAACATTTTTATCATCTCTCGCTGAATGGCGAGGAACTATTGTAGTCGCGAAAAATTTCGAAAATGAGATACCTACTGTGTTTTTTGGGTTATATTTTTATTTTATTTATACATTTACTATTAAATGTGTGTTTGTGCGTGTGTCGAGAAAAAATCTATATCACGGACTATAGTCTTGATAGATTTTAACATTTATCACTTACAGTAATCTGGCTTCTAATATTTTCGAAAATGTACTTGTTTTTACTTAAGAACAATTAAGCGAACGGCATATTTTATACCAATATTTACATCTACATTGATGTTGAGCGTAGATCTTTATACAAATTGAAGGTTGTTTCTAATGAATTAAAATTACGAAAACACGATTAATTTTTTATGCTTGGAAATAACCATTTTTCGATTATAACGCTTAATCGTTAGGATACAATGAAACATTTTCCTGCAATTATTTGATGAAAAAGTAATATACACCTTGTTTACTTGTTCCTGCTTTTCAACCAAAAATATTGCCTCAAAATAGCATCCAGTCTCCTGATTATCATCATCGGTTTGTTCAAGATTTTGTTTGAATTTCATGGTGACGTTATTTTTTCATTTTGAGAATACGCTTTTCAGGTTCAAGCTAACGCAGCATGGTCTTTAGTACCGTGCATAAGACATGCTACCGATTCTGGAGAAATGGTTCGATGTTTTGTTGGTGGTTTAGAGCTTATCGTCAATCTACTCAAATCTCCTGACACCAGAGTTTTAGCCTGTGTTTGTGCAGCAATTGCAGAAGTAGCTAAAGATATTGGTGAGGATTATTGTTATTATTAAGAATGTTTTTTTCTAAATCCAGCTTGATATCTTGTAAAAATTTTGTTTTCTTCAACGAATTCAATGATTTGTTTATATATTATCCCTTCATTAATCAGCCGCATGTTTGTATACAGGGTGACTTCGAAGTTGAGTCATTTATTTTAACAGTGAGTAGATCTGATCAAAAGAAATGTTTTTTTCCTTTACCATTTTTCTGGTAAAATTAAAGTAACAAAGTTATAGCCCTTTGGAAGTTTGAGTACCGCCCTGTCTCAATAATAATATTATGTGCTCGTGTTTGGCAACAACGGATATAATCCGCCTTATCGGTTCATCGCATCGGAAACAAAAAAGCGAAAGAATTTGGAACGATGTTTTTACAATTATTTGATTCAGTTGTATACAGTCAGTGTCAGTCGGTAACGCGTGAGTGAATAGTGGTGTCTGTTGCGTGGCTCAAACGAAATAAAAAATGGCACATGTTTATGCGGATCGGTTTCCCAATCGAGTGCAACCAACCCCTCGTGCCTTTGTTAATGTAGTACATCGGGCTCGTGAATCAGGTGACTTAAGACCTCACAGGCGACGGCATGCCGGTGCTCCAAGACCTCACGATCAAATACAGGTCCGCACTGAAATACTTGTCGGGAGGATACTTTATAAAACAAGGTAAAATTTTTTTTTAATTTTTTTTTATTTTTACACACATATTTTGGTTTATCTTCCTTCTACAATCATTATCTGAAAATTAATGACTCAACTTCAAAGTCACCCTGTATAGCTCCAAATGTTGAACTTTTGGCGCAGGAGTAATGTTGGAACACTTTAATTTTGATGGGAATTCATCATGCTCCAAACAATGATTTATATTTTAATATTATGTTATACTATAAATATCCAGTATCAAAACTGAGCCATTAGTGGCATTTCAAACGTGGTGTTTATAGAATTTTATTCATATCGCGAAATATTCTGTTTTACATCACGAAAATGACGTTTTTAACTCATTTTACAAATACTTCAAAATATCATGGTGTCAGCCGATTTGGTTTTGACTGGTCCATCCACGGGGTGTGAAGGTATGAATGTTTTTTTGGCAACATCAAAATCCGAATGAGGTAGTCAAGAAGAAAAACTACGTGAGGAGCTATTTATTTCTTAATCGTTCTAAAATATTTCGGAATATAAAGTTCGGTTGTCGAATTTTTGTTTGTTTTTGTTTAACATTTATTTAGCATGATTGCTACCATTACATTCTTTTAAAAAACTACAACAATTACATAACATACAGATAGTTAGAAAAACAAAATTTGCATCTCTAAGAATTTTCACTGCCCATGAAATATTCCTTTAATTTTCTTTTAAAAATCTTAAAATTACAAGTAGACTTTCTATCATTATTTAGTTTATTAAATTCCAGTAAACCTTTCTAAAATATCGATTGCAATTTTTTAAATAAAACTCCATATTTGCTCTTGTACAATAATTGTGGTAATGATTATTCAATTCTATATAGTGTTCTAAATGTTGTGGCAAAAGATGAATTTTTATTTAAAATATTAAAATAGGAACGAAATATGATGTGAAATTTTTCATATCCAACCACTGAAATTTTGGTAACAAAGATTTTAATTTGGTGTACTTACTTTTATTCAATATTATTCTCATAGCCTTATTCTGCAGGTCTTGTGATTTTGAGAATACAGATTTATTGGCAGTGAACAAGATATTTGAACAATATAGTAAATACGGTAGAATAATTGTACTATAAACTATTTTTTTGGGATATGTACTAAGACTATGAGAAGCACTATAAAAGTATATATTTTTTTCGAAATAATGTATTCATAGCGATCCTCAAACTTTAGTTTACTATATATAATAACTTGAGACGTGGTCATTGTCGTCTAGACCAGTTAGGTGAAAAATTAAAGCTTCCGCCTTTTGTTGGGTACTTCGAGAAAATTTAAGCAAGGAGGACTCTTTATATACTCTTTATACTTTTAGTTAATTTAAATTTCATTTTACACTATTTTTGCTACTGTTATCAATGTAATTGCAGCTCCTGATGATGATGGCAAAGACCATTGAAAGCTAGAGAGAATAAAAAAAGTATAAAGAGTCCTCCTTGCTTAAATTTTGTCGAAGTTCCCAAGAAAAGGCGGAAGCTTTAATTTTTCACATATAATATGTATATATATATATATACCTAAATATTTAATTGATTCAACATTTTCAATTATTTCACCATTTAACCTAAATATGATATTTTCATTTCGATATTTCCCTATTAGCATACATCTTGTTTTAAAAGCATTCAATTTTAGTTTAATTGCATTTAACCAATTTATGATATTTGCTAAGTCAGAATTTAACATTTTTAAAGCAGTGTCTATATTTTCATCTAGAATTATTTATGTATCATCTGCAAATATCTGAATTTCGCAATAATCTAAAATATTACAAATATCATTAATGTATACAATAACTAGTAGTGGACCTAGTTCACTACCTTGTGGTACACCAACAGAAATATTTTTTCAGCTTGATAATGTAGATCCAATTTTTGTTTTTTGACTTTTGTCAGTTAAGTCCTCTAAAAGCATTTGTATTGCCGTTTCTTCCTGAATGGAATTGGCTCAATATAATTCCTAATGGCATTATTTAACTGTTTGTTTTTTTTTCTTTTCATTATATTTGAATGCTACTTCTCAATAGGATATTGCGGTCAATCATGGTGATTTCTCGGGTTGGAAGTGAAAAAAATTTTTTTTTTTTTAGAAAACTTAGCAGTTATTACAGACCATGGTGTAGTACAAATGCTTGTGGATTTAGTTGGCACTGAAGACGTTCTGTTGAGGCAGCATTTAGCTTCAGCTATAGCGTATTGCTGCGCCTGGGGATCTAATTGCAAGATGTTTGGAAGGTAAATAATTTGTCAAAAGGAATTTTAGCTCTTGGGTCGATAATCATCACAACTGACAAAATTTAAATCTTGCACTTTTCAATGTGCTGGCTTTTTATGCTTTTAAGACTTAGTTTATTTCAAAGCATTGTTATTTAATCATATATGTCCCTTAAGACGTTATTGACAATTAAATAACAAAACTTTACCATGAACCTATGATACTTTTTGAGGTCTTGTAGGAGAAGCTTTTGAGGTATAAATTAAATAAATACCCTTGAATGGGCGGCCGCAAGAGGCCTCCCCAAACCCCAAAAGAGCCCCTTTTTAGTGATAAATGTAACACTGTTTCAAAATTCGATAACTTGAGTTACGCCAACTTCCGAAAAATTGGATAAATTACTTTTTTTTAGGATAGTTAGTCAGATCAAAAAGATGCATAGGAAAATTTCCAAGGTCAAAAATGAGAATCTCACATAGCACCAAACTTTGCTGGAAAAAACGTCATTTTTTTTGTTCACCCTGTATAAGTATTCTCAAAGAATTGGTCAAGAACCTCCCGAAAACCGAAAACCATTACGAAAATATCGAGATTTGAATTTGGTTCAAATTTTTCATGTTGCAAAGCAGTTTAGGTCGATGTCTTGTTGAACCAAAGATGATGTTCAAATTTTCCAGACTTGGAGCGATTACCCCACTGGTCCAATACATGGCAGACGAAGACCCTGACGTTCACAGAACGACGGCCTTGGCTTTATACCATCTCTCCCAAAACCCTTTCAACTGTATCACGATGCACGAGGGAGGTGTGGTGACGTTCCTCTTGAAGGCGGTGTCCACCAAAGACTACAAACTCCAAGAAGCAGCCGCTGGATGTTTGGCCAACATCAGAAAACTCGCTCTCGAGGCAGAAACCGTGCATCTGATCAGGACCAAACCGGCCAGCAGCGACGAAGACGTGAACTGATTGCGATTACTTTGTTAAGCAATAAAGATTTATTTTCAAAATCGTTTTTGGCTTTTAATAACAATAAACAAATTTATTCATGATTACAGTAACTATTTAAGCCAGTGGTCGCCGACCCGTCGATCGCGAGCTACCGCTAAAAAAGGTGTCAAAATCATAGAAGCTTCCGTAAATTTTGTAAATTCTCATAATAAACACAAGCACCGGCAACACTGCGGTGAGCGATCTGTTCGAGAACGATCTCGACTACTTTGAACGGAATAAATACTCAAGGCGCGGCGACAGTACTAAAACAGAACGGAAAAACTGAAACAATTAAAAAATTAGTTAATTGGACAACAGACAATGTTTTTAAAAACAATCGTTTTTGAATTTTAATAATAAACAAATGTATTCATGATTACAGTAACTATTTAAGCCAGCGGTCGCCGACCCGTCGATCGCGAGCTACCGCTAGCTCGCAAAGGCAATTCTGGTGGCCACAACATATTGTAAAAAGGTGTGAAAATCATAGAAGCGTCCGTAAATTTTGTAAATTCTCATAATAAACAGAAGCATCGGCAACACTGCGGTGAGCGATCTGTTCGAGAACGATCTCGACTACTTTGAACGGAATAAATACTCAAGGCGCGGCGACAGTGCTTTGTATGTTTGTTATATACGTATAATACATCTGTTTCCGTACTAAAACAAAACGGAAAAACTGAAACGATTTAAAAATCAGTTAATTGGACAACAATGTTTTTAAAAACAATCGACAAACATAAGGCTGCAACTCAAGCATCATACCGGGTACCCCAGATAATTACACTAAAGAAGAAACCTTATGAAGACGGGGAAATGATAAAACGGGGGTTTTTAGAAGCTGTAGATGCATTATTTGCCAACTTTAGAAAAAAAGACGGGATAAGTGTTTGCTATAAAATCCAGGCAACTTTCTGCTAATACAGTGGGAGGCATGTAGAAGTAATGAGCAATGATATAGTTTTACAGTTAAGAAACGACTTCGATAACTGTGCTTATTTTGTTAAGCAATAAAGATTTATTTTCAAAATCGTTTTTGACTTTTAATAATAAACAAATTTATTCGTGATTACAGTAACTATTTAAGCCAGTGGTCGCCGACCCGTCGATCGCGAGCTACCGCTAGCTCGCAAAGGCAATTCTGGTGGCCACAACATATTGTAAAAAGGTGTGAAAATCATAGAAGCTTCCGTAAATTTTGTAAATTCTCATAATAAACACAAGCACCGGCAACACTGCGGTGAGCGATCTGTTCGAGAACGATCTCGACTACTTTGAACGGAATAAATACTCAAGGCGCGGCGACAGTGCTTTGTATGTTTGTTATATAATACATCTGTTTCCGTACTAAAACAAAACGGAAAAACTGAAACAATTAAAAAATCAGTTAATTGGACAACAATGTTTTTAAAAACAATCGACAAAAATAAGGCTGCAACTCAAGCATCATACCGGGTACCCCAGATAATTACACAAAAGAAGAAACCTTATGAAGACGGGGACATGATAAAACGGGCGTTTTTAGAAGCTGTAGATTCATTATTTGCCAACTTTAGAAAAAAAAGACGGGATAAGTGTTTGCTATAAAATCCATGCAACTTTCTGCTAATACAGTGGGAGGCATGTAGAAGTAATGAGCAATGATATAGTTTTACAGTTAAGAAACGACTTCGATAACTGTGCTTATTTTGTTAAGCAATAAAGATTTATTTTCAAAATCGTTTTTGACTTTTAATAATAAACAAATTTATTCATGATTACAGTAACTATTTAAGCCAGTGGTCGCCGACCCGTCGATCGCGAGCTACCGCTAGCTCGCAAAGGCAATTCTGGTGGCCACAACATATTGTAAAAAGGTGTGAAAATCATAGAAGCTTCCGTAAATTTTGTAAATTCTCATAATAAACACAAGCACCGGCAACACTGCGGTGAGCGATCTGTTCGAGAACGATCTCGACTACTTTGAACGGAATAAATACTCAAAGCGCGGCGACGGTGCTTTGTATGTTTGTTATATAATACATCTGTTTCCGTACTAAAACAAAACGGAAAAACTGAAACGATTTAAAAATCAGTTAATTGGACAACAATGTTTTTAAAAACAATCGACAAACATAAGGCTGCAACTCAAGCATCATACCGGGTACCCCAGATAATTACACAAAAGAAGAAACCTTATGAAGACGGGGAAATGATAAAACGGGGGTTTTTAGAAGCTGTAGATTCATTATTTGCCAACTTTAGAAATAAAGATGGGATAAGTGTCTATGCAACTTTCTGCTAATACAGTGGTGAGGCATGTAGAAGTAATGAGCAATGATATAGTTTTACAGTTAAGAAATGACTTCGATAACTGTGCTTATTTTGCACTGAAGAATCCACAGATGTCGTTGACACCTCGCTGATGGCCGTGTTCGTCAGGATGGTTTTTAGTGATTTCGCGATTAAAGAAGGTCTTTTGAAGTTTATTCCACTGAAAGGACAGACTACTGGGCAGGACTTGTTTTCTTCTTTTAAAAATATTATTTCTTCTATATCGAAAATGGTAGTAATTTAATTAGTAAATTGGAGCTCAAGCCTTACAAAGAAGATTTATTCAAAACCTTGGCCGATGAATTTTGTTTATTTTTCGAACACCTACGATTTTTAGGAATGGATGTAGTTATGTATTAGTATGTATCAGTTATTAGTTTATTTAAGTTAATTAGTATGAATTAGTATTAGTAAAATAAACACATGTATGTCGCGTATAACTGTGTATAATTTCATTTAAGTTGGCTTACACTGAATAGGTAGCTCACTGTTTATTCCCAAATTATCAAAGCAGCTCAACACACTGAAAAGGTTGCGATCACTGATTTAAATAGATGTAATTGCGAAAAGGTCCAACATACGGAAGAACTGATACAGTGCTTACCCAATTGAGGCAAAAAATATGAACAGTATGCTGTGAAAATACCTGTACATATGGTTATTGATGTGACACTGTATTTCAAGAGGGTAGAGTGTGAAGTTGTTATACAGCGTGTACTTAAATTAAGTCGAAAGGTTTCATTTTCTTCGTCACTGTAGATAAACTGAAGCAATGACGACAAGAAAAATGTGAACCTAGCACAGAAAGGCAATAGATTTTTGTACTAATTGATGAAAACTTTTGACTTCGTACGGGAATTAAAAGAGTTATTGAAGGAAGGAGCAAAATTGGTCGTAAAATCTTCATTTGCTTCTAATACTATTATGTATTGA